TTTATGAGAGTTTAATTCTCATCCGCTCATTGTATGATGTTTGTTATTCAATACAAACCAAAAAATACAAATTATGACGAAATCACCATAATATTTTCTTCGGTGTGTAATAATTGAACTTAACACGATTATTTAATGTATTGGATCTACTCAATCAATATTTGCTCACAACTAGCACACTTTTTGTAAGCGCCCCCCAGTGGCTCAGCAGTAAGTCTGAAGGTTTATAACGCTATAACTTATAAGCCAAATTTCGATATCCGTTATAGGCATAGCACAGATAGCCCGTTGTGTAGCTCTGTTTAGTCTTGACAACAAATAAACAAAAAGCTTTTGTAGCTGAATAATGAGTTTAGTTTTTTTTATTGTTTGTTTGTTTAGTTAATTCTAGGAACTTGTGAGAAACGAAAGACAGAACCGGTTCGAGTAGGACCAGCAGTTCTCTCGTGTTACGTACGTGTTTTCAGTAAGTTAGTGGTTTTTTCTTCCCCTGGTTGGCTATATGTGCCTCCTCCTTGTGCGTCGGGATAGGTTGTTTAATTAAGTACAATGTATGTTTCTAATGAAGGAAGTTAAATAACAAAGAGGTAGAGTGAGCAATGCTTCAAGTGTAACAATTAAAAAAATATCTAATAAATCACATTTAGCCTTCGTACATATCGGAAATATTAAGTAACTAGCTGGAGTATCCGTCCCCCGGATGGAAGCTATGTAAAATCGTGAGTAATGAAAGGGTAACTTAGGGCACGAAAAGTTGCTTCCCTTATATGTAATTGTAAAAAAGGCAAAAACGCTCATAAAAACTGCAAAACACAAACGTTAAATCGAAAATTTGCATATATTTTCGTATGGACCCAACAAACCTTCATGCCAAATTTGATGAAGATCCATTTAACAGGGGGCGAGGGAATGGTAAAAAACGCCCATAAAAACTGCAAAACGCAAAACTGAAAATTTGTATGTATCTCTGCACGGACCTAATGAACCTCGATACCAATTTTGGTGAATATCCATCCACACCCTGCGAAGTTGTTGTTTGTTATTAAGTACAAAGCTACATAAAGGGCTATCTGTGTTCTGCCCATCACAGGTATCGAAACCCGGTTTCTAGCAGTACAGGGGGCGCCCTGCGAAGTAGTTACATGGACATATTTATAACATACAACAGACAGTACTATTATATTTATATAGATAACATACAACAGACAGTACTATTATATCTATATAGATAACATACAACAGACAGTACTATTATATCTATATAGATAACATACAACAGACAGTACTATTATATCTATATAGATAACA